GCCAAACTTTCGTTACCAAGTCGTCGCGTATTTTATTATCAATTCGCAACAAAGATATATAAACAAACTGGAATAGACACCCAGACAGTGACATCGGTGAATACATAACCTCCTTGGTGGCGGTAGAAATCGTTGCTATTATCCAAATAATACACAAAACAATTAAAGCATTATCATGAATCAGTAAAGAATAAAACAACAATACAGCACAGAATCGCATGGCCGGACGCACTCTTAGTGAAAAAGTTTTCCTCTATTAGTGAAAAGGAAGGGCGCCTTTTGCGTCTGGATATACTTAGCAACAGAAGGGCGCCCTGTACGTTGGGCACGAAGTATAGGAAACTTGCATGGTTAAAAAGAAGGGCGCCGCCTACGTTGGGCACGACTTCCGCCTCATTTTTACAATGCGAGAACTCTATCTTGTATTTCTAGTATCTTTGATTTCTAGCAAGCAGCAATCTACCTCACGGCGATAGCATTTCTGCGCATGCGTTAGTTTTTGACGTATGATTTCCCATAAAAATAATGATCAGAATATTTTATGTTGCGTTCAATCAATCATCGAATTTATATAGCGCCAAAATCCATCAAAATATCCAAAGGCGAACAGCAAACTAGCCTTGTCTTGAAAATATTAACAGATTGCCAATATCGCAGACAAGTCTTGAGGAAGAGAATCCACAGACGCGGGACAACAAACTCAGCAACGTGACCACAAAAGAAACACACATCAAGCTATTAACAAATTAATAGATCAAAACAAAAATACAAGAAGCTAAACAAAATTTTAAAATTCAATACAGTACATAAAATATTTTTACTGGTATTAACAGTTCTCTATAAAACCTTCTGATTATTATTATCATCACCATCATCATTAACATAATCATTATTGTTATTATTACTATTGTCATTATTGTTATAGGCCTATTATTATTACTGTATTATTATTTTTGTTATTATTATTATTATTATTAATATTCGATTATTATTAATATTATTACTCTGATTATTATTGTTATCATTATCACTGCATTCTTAATTTGTTATTGTTCTTATCATGGCCATTATAATTATTATCGTCATCATCAATTTTATTACAAGTACTAATATTACTAATTAGCATTACATATATTGTTATTAGTATCATTATTATTGTTACTACTACTGTTATTATTATTGTCATTATTATTTTACTATTTTTTCAAGTTAATATTATCTATTACTATTATTTTAGGCCTGTTTAGTTAAACTGTTGATGTATATACATTTTTTTAAATATTAATATTATAAATAATTTAAAAAAAGTTAGGGATTATGAATATCAGATCAAAGAAATCAAAAACAAAAAATATAAAATAAAAGAAACAAAACAATAATAGTATTAATAACTTTAAAAGAGATAAATATATAATACGTAATAAAGGTTGTTTAGCAT